CGCCCTCCCTCTGCACCAGAAATAATTTTTTTTTTTTTTTTTTTTTTGGTAAGTAATCAGGGTGAAATTTAATTCTTCCACCCTTGGGGCGGCTCACATATATTTTTTTTTTTTTTGGTAAGTAATCAGGTTATATCTTCAAACATTATTTGTATAATAAAATATTTTTGTGAAAATAACACGATTCAATAACGTGTATATTAGTGATGTAATTGGCATTATGACATCAATTGATTAGTTATATATTTTTAATTAAGAATATGGTAACATCCATTTAGCATAGTTTATGTATATATATTTGAAAGAGATATATCTACAGTATAGATTACGTTGTCACACAAATATTATCTTAATGATGTGATAGAGAAAAAATCAAATTAAATTACAAAATTTTTCTTTAAAGTTTGTCTATAGATCTTGGACTAACAAACATTTTGCATTAGATATAAAACTTTCTAATAAATCATTAAATTTTTAATTGTGGGGTTTACTAAAAAAAAAAAATTAAATGCAATCGCATGAGCAATTCAATATATCTAATAGATAGATAATTTTAGAAGCTTTTTTTAATAACTAATACATACAAAAATTTAAAACTTATTAAATACTTCCCAAATTTACCATACAAGAGAGAGAGAAAAAAAAATAGTATTATTTATAAATTATTTTAGGGTGTGATAAATTTGTTGCAAAAATTAAAATTTACCTGAATTTGATATGGGACTCGAGATGAGAAATGTTGATACTTTTCTTCTGGCGTTGATTCTGTCCAAACGCACGCGGTTTGTTATTTTCGTCCAAAAAACGCTTAATCGGAATTATCTTCATAATTTTGTTTTAGGGGCGCTTTCTTCTTCTCGAATTAGTCCTCCGCCGTTCGTTGATACCACTGGTCGGCATTTCCTTTTTCAATTTCTTTCTTCCCTTTTCAATTCTTCATCCTCCCCCAATTAACCCCAACATATTTCCCAATCGGCTCTGAAACCACACCTTCGCGGCTGCTTTTTGATACCGATTTCGCAGGCCGTTCGTGATTTTCATCGCTTCGCTTTGCGAGATCAGGATTCAGGAGCAGCCATGTCTTGGAATGTATTCAAATTCTGCACGGCGCTGCGTGCTTTGGGTTCCATCATGATCTTCTTAGTTCTAGGTATAGTCGGTCTCTCCTATTACGCTTTGGTCGTCGTCAACTATGGTCCGGCTCTCTTTCGCGGAGGCCTCAATTCGCTTACAGCTCTCCTAGTCTTGCTCTTGTTTCATTCTTTGGTAATATATTTTCCTCTTTTAGCTGCAATTACACATATTGTGCACTTGGCGAACTGTTGGTTTGACCTTCGACAATTTAGCTTCCTGGGATCCTCAGGACTTCCTGATATTCTTTTTCCTTTTTTCCGGAATGATTCCTGGAACTTGAATTTCGACTTAGCTTAAGAGGAATTGCTTAGAAAATGTAAAATTGTGGAAAATTTAACATTGTAGTGCAGAAAGTTATGTCTTATTGTGTAATAAAAGTTGTGGGGCTTAGAGTTCAAAATATGAGGCAATCTTCAGTTTTCTTGAAAATATAAACTTAAGATCACCTTCTACATCCGTTAATTGCTCTAGGTGACCATCGTTTGGTTTTTCCTTTATTTCTACTGACACGAATTTATTAGCTAGTGGAAGAGCGTTATGATAGAATAGAGCATCTCTGAGATTCTTCTTTTTGGTTGGTTGAGAAAACAACAGTACTTTGGGCCAGAATAAATAAAAAGAAAATAAGTACTAGCCGTATTCTGAATTTGAAATGATACGTTGTCATATTTGTGTGTTCATCTTTAGAATAGCATATGCACATTCATATAGCTTCAAACCTTCAATTTACCAATCTGTTTATGCAGTTGGTGATGTTACTATGGAGCTACTTTTCTGTTGTACTAACAAATCCGGGGTGTGTTCCACCTCATTGGAGACCTGAGTCGGATGAAGAGAAAGGGGATGCAGATCCATTAATGGCATCAGAATACAACAATGGTCCAGGTGCAGGGCCAGAACAAGGAACCGTGCCAAGTGATTCTGCTAATCGAAAAATACGGTTTTGTCGCAAGTGCAACCAGTTTAAACCGCCTCGTTGCCATCATTGTTCTGTTTGTAAGCTCTAGATCATTTCCTACTTTTTATTTCCTGTAGGAGTTTACTGTGGTCCTAGTTGATAAACAATATATAAATACTGATTATGCCTCCTTTGGTAGGTGGAAGGTGTGTATTGAAAATGGACCATCATTGTGTGTGGGTCGTCAATTGTGTTGGAGCAAAGAACTACAAGCATTTCCTGCTATTTTTGGTAAGCACAACCAGAGTATTTCCTTCTGAACTCCAGTTCTCTATCTTCATGGTTCTCGGGATGGATGGTCCCCTATGATATCTATAGTATCCATTCAGGAAATAAACGATGTTACTTGTATAATCATGAGTAGATTCTGGTTCTTTGGCAATTTGTCAGCTGATATAACCTGCAATCATAGATATTCTAATTCTGCTATAGAGATGTTTTGTTATGGTGCCATGGCAGCATCATTGCATTGAGTTTATTAAATCATATTGCTTGTTTGTTTCCATCATTTGTGCAAGGAGAAAATATTTTTTCCCTCGAGCAGTTGAGAATATAATTGCCTTTTCTTTTGGTACTTGTTATGTCCGATTAAGATTTTGTTTCATCACTTAAGTGCTTGGCTAACGAAGGTATGCAGAAGTTCCACTAATCATCACATTTTGTTGATTTTCATGCAGTTTTACACATTTCTTGAAACATCCCTTGTTACTTTGTCATTATTGCCATACTTCTTAGCTTTTTTCTCCGATGGTGATATAACTGGAACACCAGGCAGCCTTGCAGCAATTTTTGTAACATTTAGTAAGTGCACAAGTGACAATTTCGTTCAATAGTTAAAGATATTTCGACATTTATCTCTAATTTTAGTTGCTCGTTCCTTACAGTTCTGAATTTGACATTTTCTCTGAGTGTTATGGGTTTTCTGATATTGCACATATCACTTGTAGCAGCCAATACCACGACAATAGAGGTAATTCCTCCTAGAAGTAGTACTGTGTTTGTATTGCTTTTAAACATTTAAAAGGGGCTGAATTGGTTTATGGGATATTTGATTCACCGTTGTCAGGCATATGAGAAGAAAACCACCCCGAAGTGGCATTTTGATCTTGGTCGCAGAAAAAACTTTGAGCAGGTATCTTCTTCTCAACGTATTGGCTTCTTCCTTGCGAACATTCAATTATTGATGGTATAGTTATCTGTTGTTGCCCCACAGCTAGACGTTTATTTTCTTATTGATGTCCTTATTTAGTTACAACCTACCCAAGTTTCCCGAGGTTTGATACTCTCTCTCTACCAAAGTTTCTTCCTCTAGTTAGTACCCCACTGCTCTCAGCTTACAGAACTCCCTTACTTCCCATCTTCCCCAAGATAGATTTAAATTTGTCTGTATTCCAAAATGACATGTTGTTCCCAACCACATCCATATCTTATATTCATGACAACCGACCGACACTATTTCACTGCTCCCTTTCCTGTTTGTAAGAGTGAGTGCAAGCAAATTACATTGGCTGTGGCTTTAATCCTATCGATTGAAGTTGTCTAGTAATTTGATTGAGCTAGTCAAATGTAACATTATCACATATTTTATTATAACGAACTAGAATATTCATCATCCGCGAAGATTTATATCAATAATATCCTCCAGAGTCTCAAGGTTTTGTAGTAATCTCTACAATTCCAATATCTGAGAAAATAAATTCTTAAAAACTGATCTCAAATTGGGAAAACTACCCAAAATTCCAAATTGTGAAATTAAAAATGGATGGCTTGTGCCATGGGACAACTTTGGATTCATTGCATCAATTATTTATATGCTGGAGTTCTTTTGCATGTGACACTAAATTCATTCGTGAATCAGGTTTTTGGAATGGATAAGAAGTACTGGTTTATCCCTGCATATTCTCAAGATGACTTAAAGCGGATGCCTAATCTCCAAGGCCTTGAATATCCAATGAGGTCAGACACGAATCTACTTCAGGAATTGTAAAATCAATCTCACAGTAAACCTGCAAGCTTTCATTGTTTGATACAAAGTGAATTGTATCGAGGGGAGAGAGCCTGAGCCCAGAGGATGTCACCTTGATCCTTAAATTGAATGAATGACAGGTCGGTTTAAATTTCTAACAAACAAATCATAAAGAATGGCCTTCTTCAGGTGGTGCACTGTATAATATTAGTTGGAAAAGCCATTTGTTTGCCGAATGATGCACAAATTTTAGCTCTGTATCCAGTTTTAGCACAATGTAAACTCTTTTTTCTTCTGTATATATTTGTTTGTATGAAAACCGACTTAGTTTGGATATGTAGCGTGTATGTTGGTGCATCTGCATCATATCTGCCCACCCCATAAGGTCTCAGAAATACTTTCAGAAGGCTCCCTTTATAGAAACTTCGACCCCTTGGAAAATGAGTCATATTATGGGAACCTTTTGTTCTAAATTAGCAGGTGGCCCTTCTATTCAAATCTTGTTCGACTACCAAGCTTTTGCAGATTATTATGATTATATTTATTATTATTATTATGTTCAGTCTCATCTTGTAAGTCAGTGACGGATGGCCGGGGCTGCGCCCGCGGTTTTCCTCCATGTGCATGTCAAAGGGAGAAAAGATAAAAGACGGAGATTGTTGAGTTGACGTGAATAATTAATTAGGAGCCTGAAATTTAATTTTTGAACTATAAAATAATCCAAAATTCTAACAATGTTGTAAACATTTTTTTAATACGTAACGTGGTATTTATCGATCTATTTTTTGCTAAATTACTCGCAAAAAGGTCAAAAAAATTAAATTCTTTTAAGTTTGGAAGGCAAATTTATACCACTCAACAAATTTAGAAATAGTTACTCGTATCAAGTTTAGATATAAAAAATTATATATATATATATATTTTTAAAAATTTTAAAGTTACACGACCTCAATTAACAATAAATCATCAAAAATCATGTGCGTAACCCTTTTACCTTAATTTTGATTGACCATGACATTCGAGAACGACAAATCACGGAAAATTGGGCAAACACAAAATTCAATAAGGATATGCGCAGTAAGTTTAGGGGCTAATGTGGTCAAGCCTAGCATCAAGCTTAAACTAGTGCTTAATGGTTTAAACCTTCAACAATGATTGGTTGGTTAACAAAGGTATAGGTCTTATCGTCCAAACATTCAATAATCAAGTTGAGGTTATCAATGTAACAACGATGCACTTATTGGTTTAATGTTGCATTTAGTACTACTCTAGCTAGTCACTACTACTATACATTCGAGTGTTCGTCTAGACAATACACCCATTAAAAACTTCGTGATGGATATGGTTCTAAATTTAATGTTATGTTAGTACACATCCTATATAACTTAAATGTAACAACTAGACTTCTTTCCTAAAAAAAATCACTCAGCGCTTATTTAGCTAATATAGTTAAAATCTGACCTAATTCCACTGGTGCAAGGAAGTGATAACCAATGGAATTATGGTTAGAGGAAAAAACATCCATCTTTCCATTTTGTGAAGGTCTGAATTTCATTTGTTCATGTATTATTACAAAAGATGCAACCAAAAATTGAATGCGCATACTCACTTTGTCTCATCTTGTTTGTAAGAAAATTTAAAACAACAATCTGTTCATCTCAAAAACGAGACAAAAAATCAATATATTTGTCACTCAATCTGATAAGTACGATTAAGAAACGGACAAAACTGTATAAAACTAAAACGACAGCGCTTTGCTTGACGGAACAGAAATCACTTCCGAATCACAAACTCCTCCCCTGATCGTCGATCAACCTGCTTGATCCATTTCCCCTTCCCCTCGCCGGAACCTGAATTCCTTCCTTCCGCCGCCACGTATGCAATATCCAATCCCTGCCCCACCGGCAAAAACGCTGATCGAATCAGCCGCCGCGTTCCGTTATTGGTAACATTACTCCATCTGAAACTCGAATCGCTTCTCGAGTTCGCGTTCTTGCATATCAAAACCGCTCCTCTGGAACTCAGATTCGCCATTTTCAGAACTCGACTGAAATTCCTCCTCTCACTATTCACCACCAGAAAATCTATCCCTACCAGTCCTCCCATCACCTCCTCCGGCTCTCTCACGATCACTTCCGGCGCCAATCCCGCTCTCTCCATCGCTCTCCAATATTCTCCTCGCGATCTCTCGTCCGGCACCACACACACGTGTCTCCCTCCGGTGTGCCGGCGAGCAACCGCCAGTCCAATACTCGTTGCAATCGCTCCGCCGCTCGACCACGTCTCGACGATGAATTGAGCGTTCCGTCCGGCCGCCATCGCCGAAATCAATTCCGCAACGCCGGATTCTGTATGGAGATCGCACTTCACAGTTCACACACAACTGAAAAACATCAATCATAAACACGCAAAAAAAAAAAAAAAACGAAACAGAAATTTGAAATCAAAGGAGATTTCTTACAGATTGGACGGTGTCGATGTAGGCTTTGGAAGCCGTATCAGGGGACCAAACAAGCTTCATCTCCAATATTCCGGTACGATTCTCTCTATATCTGAACTCCTCCCTGTCGACTCGATTCGTAATCTAGGGTTTCGTGTTCTTCTTCCTCTGCAAGTCACAATTTCTGTTTTGGCTCTGAAAACTGAAGGGGTTTCTTTTTGAATTGGGGTGGGGCTTTTATTCTCCAAGGCATTACAAATGGATTTTTCTTTTCCTTTTTTTTTTTTTTATTAATAGAAACAATTAGATATGGTTGACCGTTGACATTGCCCACTTTTTTCCGACGTGTTTAGATTGGATTGCCACCGTGGTTTTCTTTACTCATATTCCCCAAATTGTCAACCAATATCTTACGAAAAAAAAGTTAAAAATTTTAGATTTATATTAAATTTGATTGGTTTACCTGTTTGGCTTACCAAATTAAAAAATAAAATTTTAAAAAAACTTATAAACATGTTCAAATTTTAAGTATTTAAAATTAAAAAACAAGATTGTGTTGTTAAATACAAATAATCGAACAAATTCTACTTTTAGACGATATGACTCAAAATGTTTGAGTTTATACTTTATATTAAGTTGATATTTAATACGCGAATCCGCTTATAAATTAAGCATTTTATATAAATTATAATCCTATATAAGTAAATATGTTGAATTTATATTCCAAAACGAATAAAACAAATAAACTTTATAGGTTGGATAAGGTATATACAACCATTTTTCCATCTTTACATCAAATTATTACAAGTTTTTTTTTTTTTTTTTTTTTTTTTTTTTTGTATATAAAAGTATAAAATAAAAAATATTAAATATTGATGAATATTGGGAATTAACTTGTGAAGTTATCATATTTGAAAAGGTATCCTTTATTCAAAACAACACACCCAAATTTTAAAGATATATTCGAAAGAAATATTGGTTGAATTTAATTTTTATTCTGAAAGATAAAATTGGAGGGGGGATAAAATAGCCACCTCCTCATGTACATATTTTAATTATTTTATCTTCCGAAGAAATTTTGGGTGTGCGACGCCTTCTTTTCATTTTTCTACCAAATTCTATCCACTCCTTGTATTTCTAATATTAATCATTTCTTTTGTAGCTTTTATGGAAAACTTCAATTGTTTTCGGTATTTCCTTTTCATTATTTTTTATTTACAAACAATTTAAATCTCTTTACCTACCATTTATACCATATAGTATTGACTCAAATACTTGTATTTTAAAAAATATAAGACAAACACTTCAACTCAAAAATAATAAAAAGAAATTAGATATAACATGATTGAAATATTATGTCTAATTTGGTGTATCTGAAAATCATAAGTCCAAGAGGTTAAACGAGCCCAATTCAACTTATTTTAAAGCTTGGCCCAACCCAAAATTAATGTTTAATGAGCTGATTCAACCCATTTTACCTATTTGGTTGGGTGATAGTCTAAGCATACTCCTGGTAGATATTGTCCTCCCTACCCTACTAATGTGCCTACTAATGTGAGATTCTCACCTACTCAATCCCAATTTGGCATATGATAACATTTTCTTGTATGCGGGTTATTTATTTATTTTATTTTTTAAATGAAAATTATATCCCCGAATCAAACTTGGATTCTGATATTGAAAGGTTATTGGGTAGAGAATGGGTAGATATTTTGTATAAGGTAGATTCCCAGAATTGAATAAGACAGAGCTCCATAGCCTCTGTGCGTTTGGACAAAGACATCCCACCGGGCAAACAAGACGACAATTTGGGTCCGTACTGGAATCTTCACCAATGAAGAATTGATGAACTTATAAAATGTTATGAAATTAAAGGCATCAACAAAGATACTTAATTGATCGGTACTCTTTTACATGATTGCATTAGCATTTCTCATAAACACGACACTCTTACTACCCATCTTTTCAAATATGAACTTTGAACTTTATTTTACAAATCAAAACATCAACAACAACAACAACATGGCCCTATCTGCCAAACCTCCCTTGCTTACATTTATATCTGAAAGGAAATTTGGTGGTCGAAGTTCAAGCGGAGGCAGCAGCCTTGCATACAGGAAGGTCTTCAATGGTGTTGGGTGGAAATCGGAGTATTGGATTGCTTTCGAAGAAATTTACAGGCTTCAAATCGAAACTCGCTGATACGGTCGGCATGATTGGAAAATCTTCTTGGCATGGCACGTGATGGAACCCTAATGTGTACCATACCACTATATCTCTGTTTTCAATCCCTCGATCCCTACAGAAAAATGCATCCATTTTTTTTATATAAAAAGATATAAATGGTTTAAAAAATGTCCCACCAAGTTTGAATGGTAAATACTTACCGGTCCGACCAAGTTTGAAGGGTATCCTCGCCATTGCTCTGGTAAACAAACTGCCCGCCGGCCCACTCCTCGCTCCGGTTATACGGCGTAACCCATATCTGATTATTCGTAAACGCTCCTCTCCTCTGCGGCGGATCGTCCAAATCCAGCAAGCTGGCAGCGGTAGCGGCCGGAACCACCTTGTAACCGACCGGATTACCGACCCGAGTCTTTACAGAGGGATTTACAATGTGAAACTCCGATGGGTCGTACAATTTGAGCTTAATTTGAGCTTCCTTCTCTGTCTTAGCTACCTTTTTCACTGCTTTCAGGTAACTTTTTCTCGGCGATTCTCCTCTGGAAGTCATTTGCCTTTGGAGATTCACCTTTACAAATGAATTGTCGGAGCCATCGATATCCATGTCTAAGTAGAACGTAACGAAATGGTCGTGGATTACTCCGATGACGTTTTCCGACAACAGAGTGCCATAGAGATCTTGTCCGGCGAACTGGTTCGTGTTCTCGTAAGATGTGCCTTTCACCATCAATATTCCACTCAGACCCACCTGTACTTCCATTTCGGAAACGTATTTAATTTTTTGGGTTTAAAATGAAAAAGATAAAATTGAGTAAAATTCTTCGAGAAGAAGAAAGTTGAAACCTTGATTCTGATGAGCCCATCAGTTTGGAACTCCCAATCGACAATATAGTCATAATTGGCCACAGACGCCGCCATCCTCGCCACCAGCGTCACTTTCGGCCTAACCTCAGTGATCTGTTCCACCCAAATTTATACATATTATTAATAAATCATTCCAAATCTTAATTAGATTCCAGCTCAATTCATCACTTACATCCAAGCCCGTTATCGGACTCTCCGCATGCCGCCACCCAATATCTCCGGCGTACCTCTCGAACAAGCAAATCATATTCCGCCGCACGTACGGCTTTCCATCCACCGCCGCAAAAACACCATCCATATAATAAGCGTTTCTCGGGCAATCATTAAGCGGGTCAAGACTCATTGCTTGCAACCCGAACCCGTATTCGCCCGCATCCATATAGGTTTTGAAGTACCAGGCATCCGACGGGTCCATGTAAGGCACAAACAACTCCGATGTAAACCCCTTGTAAATAACATCCCTCAAAATCCCCGTATCCGGGTCCCGAGCTTTGGCCCGAGAAATCACCATCCCCGCTCTCGGGTCGGGTTTCAAGTGAAATTCCCAATTTGCCCATTTCACCAAATGCTCGTCCTCTACACTAAAACTCGGCCCCTTCGGTTGCTCGATTGAAATCGGATTTAGCAATTTCATTACCTTGTTCGGCGGCTGCGCCGAGTATCGGTAATCGGTGTTGGCGGCTTTTGGAATCGGGATGTTTTTGCCTTTGTCGGAAATTTCAATCACTTGTTGAACGTCTAAGTCAACGAGGACAGTCAACCCTTCAATAGGTCTCATGTAGAAATTGGCAGTGTCCTTCATGGAGTAGCACTGGACTTTGATCAGCCGCCGATTCTCTTCCTTGGCGCCGAACCATCCGGTCGAGATGGGCAAGCAAGATACGTCTGAGAGAGCAATCCCACGGTCGAGAATCGTTTGATTGAATCTCTCACTCTTCATCGGTACCCACGTGGCAGTAAACATCTCTTCGGCCGTCATCGTCGGATAACCCGAATGTGGGCCCGTTCGGAGGATAGCGATATTAGCGGAGGTCAGGTCGACGGTTAACACGTGGGATTTACCGTCGACACGTGCGACTACCGAAGCCTTTCTAGGCGGCAGAGGGTCACCGGTTTGCCATTCAAGGACGTGGGACTTTTGGGGCTCTTCCAGGACTAGGGAGTGGATGGAAAAGGGAGAGGATCTGAAGAGAGGATGAGAAGAGAGGATTGAACGAACTTGGGTGATTTCTTGAACGGTGAGTGGGTCGAGAGGGTGGTGGGGGATGTCGGAGGCGTGGTCATGACGGCGCGTGGGGTTTTGGTGGTCGAGGGTAGTGGGTTGGGATTTGGAGGTGCACCATGGGGAGCAGGCGGCGCAGTTGAAAATCTCTGCCGCGTTGAGTGGAGGAGAGGGGAGGTGGAGACAAGTGAAAAATAGAGCAAAGGCTGTGGTTATCGACAGGAAAGTGTAGAGGAGATATTTTCCGGCTGCCATGGTTTGGCGTTGGCCTTTCTCTATCGCGAGAAGATAGTGGTAGTGAAGAGGGCAGGATTGAGGGGATTTTATAATGGAAAAACAACAAATCTGGGAATCATTTGTGACCGCAACAAAACTACTAATTATTTTTTCCACTAATAATCTTACAAACTTTATACTTTGTATTTATTGGGCTTAGAAAGTTTAAAAGATATTAAACTTTATATTTTCCACTAATAACATTATAAACTATATATTTTGTATTTTTTTATTATTATATTCATTATTTGGTAGATTAAATAACATAATAATCTAATGATATTCATTATATTGAAGGATCCAATGGTGTTTTAATTTGTCCCATCATAAATGAATAATTAAAGAATTATGGAGATTCTCATTTATAATTATATTAAGCTATAGCTAAAATAAACATTTTTTACTATACCACTTGTTTTGAGGATCGAGCTCCTCTATGTTATTATCATATGAATATATGATAATATTCTAAAAATATTTATATAAAAAAATAAAAGTTATAATTCTAAATGATGGTTTGGTTTTTTCTCTAAAATTTTTATTTGGAAAAATCCAACAAAAAAATGATTATTCTATTTTAAAATAATACTTAATAAGACTGGCCAAGCACAGGTTTTAAAACATCCAACAAGTTTTCACACACTTATAAATAATAAAGAAGGTTTGGTTTCTTCCTTCTAACCAATAAAATCTCAAAATTTGAAAGAAAAAAGAAGTAATATTTCACTCTTATTTAAGCTGATTACTTGAGATTCCCACCTTACATTAGTTTATTCACAAGATTCCACCTTACATTAATTTATTCACAATTAAACAATAGAAGAATGAAGATAAACAAGGTTAGTCTATTTACGAATAAACAAACAGATCTTAACATAGCCTTAAAATTTTACCCTAAATTGTAATTTCTTGAATTTTAAACCATAGATTTAAGAGAAGAGATGGAGGTTCAAAATTGTAAACTCAATTATTGATGTTATTATGGATTAATTACATAAGATTATTGACAAACAGTATGTAATTGCAAATTGCCCAAAACACAGAAAACAATAAGTAAGAGAAAAAAGGGCAAGCCACGTGGTTTTCGCTAGCCATCAAGAAATTCTGGGAGAGAAGATCAGAAGAACAGAGAGGTCAGAAGAGAGAGCGAGAGGTTTTAGAGCTTTCGAACAGAAATCTCAGATCAAATTAACATGATCCTGTAATATGGGATTGAAAGGCGTCTCCTCGGCGCCCGGCGATTTCATATACTTCAAGTCTCAGGTCCCCCTTCATCGGATTCCGGTACGTTTCTCTTTGTTTTCTCCTCCGATTTCCATTTTGTTGGCTTTTCTTTACTCGGTTAGTTGCATTGATTTCATCTGATGACTTTGTTTTCTTCTTTGTTTTAGTCCAGTAATGATTATAGTTTATTAGCATAGGTTTCCAGATGTGTAGAAAATAGACATGTTCCTTAATTAAGTTTATGGTGTGCGGATTTTTTTTTCTTTTGCGTTTCCTAGGTTTCGCTGCTTCTCTACGGGCTTTATTTTCACTCTTATCGAGAGGATTATGCTTACTCTCGCAGATTGGCACCAAGCAATGGCGATACTATGATTTTGGCCCGAAAGTTGTACCTCCTCTTATATGTCTTCCTGGAATAGCAGGGACGGCAGATGTCTACTACAAACAAATACTCTCTTTGGCAATGAAGGTTGTTCTTTTTGAATTAAATCGGGATTTTACTTTACTAGGCCCTCATCGATTCTCTATCGAGACCACAAAACATGAACTATGCGGGGTATTTGTTAAATGAATTGGCAATTTTCTCAAGGCTCTATGCGATTGGTCCGATTCTTTTCCTCCCTTTCAGAGGAAACTCAAAAGAATTAAGTAACAAGATAGGGCTGTCTCGTAATTTCTTTTACGTTATTGACCTTTCTTCTGGGGAGAGTTTATCGTTTCTTTATCTTTAATGTTATAGGCGTTTTAAGTTAAATGTGACTGGAGATTCCTTTATCTTCATCAATTGATTTTACTAGATAACATTTGTTTCTAATTATTTCATACTTCATATTAATTTGGAATGGCTGCTACCTGGCGGTTATGCCATTGTTGATTTTTTCAATTTCAAGTATTTCTTTTTTTTCAGTTGTGAATCCAAGGTGCTATTACTGTTACTTCTAGAGTTGTGCATTCAACTACGTTGGGAAAATATTGCAGAATTACATCATTTTTTACATACAGGGTTACCGAGTAATTTCTGTCGATATTCCACGTGTATGGAAACATCAAGAGTGGATTCAAGCATTTGAAAAGTTCTTGGATACTATAGACGTTCATCATGTAAGGATTTTGTTTATGTCACTCTCGTAACATTATTCTATTGTCCTTTGTGCTTTCTTGTCATAAATACATCTCCATTTCTACTCTTGTAGATGAACTGGCTCGCATTTAACTTTAAGTGTGAACAGGTGCATTTGTTGAGGTTGTTATATTTTTAAGTCAGAACAGCTAAGCCGCAATCTAGAAACAAGATTTTGATGAACATCAACCACTTTTTAGGTTTTGTTGTGTTACATTGCTATAAACCTATTAGAAGAGAAGAAATATTTCTAGGTACCATGGTTGAGAAAATTTTGATTTTGGTAAGCATGATAAAGAAATTTTTTGTAATACCGACTTCAGGCTTTGAGTATCTCTGGAATCTGGATGTAGATAATGTAAATATGTTATATATCGGATTTGACTTATCACAATAGCCTGTTAAATATTGCATAAGAGTAACTTGGCTGATTTGATTTGTGATAGAAGTTGATCTAGTGAGAAAGTGATAGTAGATGTCATCTATAGTGATAGCTGGTTTATTGAGCTTCTGTTCATCAAATATGGCATAATAGATGCATACCAACATTGTTTTTCACTAATTGCATCATATATACAATATTTATGGTTTGAAATGATTGACAAACTAAAGACTTCTAAAGCTTAACAGCTGTACTTTTAACAGATACATATTTATGGCACTTCACTTGGGGGATTTCTAGCACAACTTTTTGCTCAACATCGGCCAAGACGCGTTAAGTCTTTGATATTATCCAATTCATTTATTGAGACCAAAAACTTTTCTGCAGCAATGCCATGGGCTCCAATGTAAGCTCCTGGTGCCTTTTCTTTTCTTCTTAAACTTATTTCATTCCTTACTTTGTAGATTTATGAGCTGAAGAACTTTTGTTATTTTGTAAATTATTGATACCCAAAGAATTCCCTATGTCTATTGCTAAAATCTCAGCTGCTAAGAAGTTAGAAATGCAATTTTTGAGAAAGTAGATATGTTCTCATTACGTCCAGTGCATGCCTGAAAAAGAAAATTAAAAAAAAAAAAAAAAGAATCAGACACTAAAGACTTTTTCCATTGATAAAATGAGGAGAATAAGAGAGGGACAACTCCAAGCTGGGGGAACATACAAAAAAGCGGTCCAATTAGCTTTCCTAAATTCTTATGATTATAATATGGTTTGGAGAGAATGCATAAGTTAGATGCCACAATTTCTTACCATCTCTAGATGCTTCCCTGAAAATTCTATGGTTCTTCCATTACAATATTCCTAAAGATGAGTTTTTGTTGTATTTGACCACAAGCCAGTGCCCTTTTCCTCTAAGCTAAAAGCCACATGGCATTTGCTCAATTCCCTCTACTAGAAAGTGTAAAACACCAGCTAATCACAATGTAATCAAAGCTTCTGAGCATGTATATTACAAGGACATTGCCTAAAATGGTGGGTTTGATCTTTTGGACTGTTTTTATAAAGGCTTTACCAATTAGGAATTAGGGCCAGCGAAGGGTAGCCATTTTAAATCTCGCAGCTCTATTTATTCTCCCCAACTGCTATTCAGACTAGACTAGGTACTAGTCATCTTTTAATGTATCTCTCTTTACTGAGCTGAATGTTTTGAATCCCGAATCCAACAGATTGATTTCCCTGCTTATTGATCAGTCCTATTTTAGCAGATAATTTCAATTTTTTTTTTTTTTTTCCGTCGTATTCAACACCTCACTGATTGGGAGGGCTTCTCTTTGAACTTCCTAATGTGACCCCTCGGAGACTTGAAACCCAGTCATCATCCCACTCCCAGAATGATATTTCTTATAAATTCCTCCCCAAAAGGCTGAAGACGTACCAGCCTGATGGAAATGCATAATGATGCCTGTACCAGGGCCTTTGCCGCTCCCCCCATCACATTATGGACCTCCTTCCCATCTGAAATTTTTCATACTTGAAATTGATTTATTTAGGCCTGAAACCCATGGTTTGAGACCTCTACGGCCGTTTGAAAACTTCCTGTGCATTGAAACGTGTGAGATTCTCTATCATGACTTTCCACTCTCAAGCCACTGTATCTGATCTGAAAGAGAAGGCATTTGTACTTTATATTTAGTTCCTTCACCCTTACCACCATCCTCAATCAAACTCTCTCCAGAGCATGTTCAGCTTTATTTGTCTAATTTGTAGTCTTACCTTTAATGCTGTCATATCATGTTTCTGATGATCCATTAATATGTAACTGCGCATTTCCAATTCAAGATCCTCCATCCAAAATTTTTATGTTATTCAGTATAAAAGTTTTCTTCAATATTAACTCGCAGGATTTTGATATTGCTTTATGCAGTGTTAGTTGGGCCCCCTCTTTTTTGCTGAAAAGGTATGTCTTAACAGGAATTCGTGATGGCCCTCATGAACCGTTCATTGCAGATTCCGTAGACTTTGTTGTTTCTCAGGTACTTGAAGTTTAAAACTTTATTTGTAATCAAGCAAATCTCTCTCGCACAGCTCAGTGGGTAATGGATTAGTTCTAGATGGTTCTCTGTTTCTTGTGGATGTCAATATGTTAATAATTCTGACTAAAACTGTTTATTGAATCACTGATATCTGTGACTAGGTATCAGCTCAAAAATTTTAAAGCTGTATTTATCATAATGTTTTTAATCCTTCTCAGCTTTAGTTTCCAATTTTCTCCAAAATAGTCGTGTCCTTTTTTCTACATTAATCCAACT